TAATTGGTAATCCAGACAATAAACCTGATTTATGATATAATGACTACGGAATTTTGATGTAATCCTGACAAACCTGATTTATGATATAATGACAGAATTTTTATACAATCGTACGTTGGTAATCCTGACCACAACCCTGATTTTTGATTTGATTTGGAATTTTGTTAAACTATTTTGGTCTTCCATCGAATTATTTTTCAACCTGCAACGGTATAATGAAATCAAAGAATAAAAAAATTTCACTAATACCACAACTAAAACACGGATTACATCACTTGAGATACAATCGATTTGCGTTCCATCAACTATTGTGTCGATTAAAATTATTCGAAGGACCATTTTATTCCTTCGATAAAAGTGAATTTGGAAAATATTTTAAAATTCATTCAACGTGCACTAAGATGTGATTATTTCATATATGTCGAAAAATATGTACATCTTTGAATACTGTAGTAGTAATACATGTACAATTTTGGTTATTTGGTAATCCTGACAATAAACCTGATTTTTGATTTGATTTGGAATTTTGATGCAATCCTGAGTTAATTGGTAATCCTGACACTAAACCTGATTTATTATATAATAACAGAATTTTGATGCAATCCTAAGATAATTGGTAATCCAGACAATAAACCTGATTTATGATATAATGACTACGGAATTTTGATGTAATCCTGACAAACCTGATTTATGATATAATGACGGAATTTTTATACAATCGTGAGTAAGATGGTAATCCTGACCACAACCCTGATATATGATATAAAACATAATGTATGCGAAAAAACCTCAAGTTATACGATAGTTCGTATCGGTCGAATTTATTTGTGAAAAACGCGAATAAATTTCTGACTATTTTCCATAACAATATTTGGATGCACGCATATACTCGGCTCAGGAAATATTTTAAATTTGAACATGACAAAAAAAAAGTATACATATAGTATACACTGACCTACCTTTTCGATAAAAATTTAAAATGTACTATACCTTGGAGAAAATTGCGCGAAACACCATAATTTTTTCGAAAATTTTTGCAAATAACAAGTAACTTTGGCGCTGAAAGGGTTATTACAGCCGATGAGGAAATTGCGTTACGTCTCTGCAATGTACTGCTGCCAATGAACGAATTAGAAAGGATAACACGCATATATTCATGGGCATATGAGCAACGTAGCATGCTATGACATGGTAAATATCGAATATTTTCAATTTATATATGTACATATAATCAGATATATCATATTAAGAATTCAAAAAGCGCTTTAAATAACTTGATAAATTTGAAAAGCAACAAAATTACTAAATTGTATGCACTTTTTAATTATTTGTGTTAATTTGTAATTATACAATTATATAATTTGTGTTAAAAGTATTCAGAAATTAATTTTTTTAAATAGAAATGAGCATAAATGAATAACGTTAAATAATTAAATAAATTAATAATTATTATGTATTAAATAATTGAAGGCGATCACGATATGGATACTGGAGCCAGCAGAGTTTGATCATGACAGAAAGGTGCACCGAGCCCCAATTTTTCATTTGTTTATTGCTGAATGCAAGCTATATGTTCGAATTTCGAAGATTTGACCAACTTCCCAACTCGGCGCTTGCGCATATCGCATGTGAACAACACACACACATACACACACATCGAGGAGACGTTTATCAAAAACTATGCGCCCACAAAATGCGTAATCACTACTTCAAGCCTACTTTTAGGCGATATAAATTTCTTGTCATAGTTCTCTGCGCTCCATATATCGGCTTTGCGGCTCGGTTTGAAAGCTTCTTGTTGCATTGATTGAAGGAAAGATCACATGTTGAGAACGAACAACGGCTCGTCAAAATTGCGGCAATTAAGAACTACAAAAATAAACAAAAGACGAACTTTTACAACTAAAAGTATACATCTTGGAAAGGTAGCACACAAAGGAATGCATGAATCAACATCGATATGCCCAAAACCATCTAAACTCATGCCAACA